TCATTTTGCCTGCACAGAGCACCTTTTTACATGTTTTTATGCTCGCATTAATGTAATAAAATATGTACGCTAAATGGATGTTGGCTCGCACGTAACCCTATATCTCTCTCCTATTTTTTCACTTCTTTGGTGAAAAGGTTTCAATCAAACGTGCATTTTTCCTTGTGGCGTGTTTGCTCTCGTATTTGGTTCCTGTGTACTCAATTTATGGTGCAATTTTATTTTGTTTGCGCCGACCACCTGTACAGTAAATGACAGTTTCTTCTACAAACTTTACTTTTAACTTGACAGCAGTCAAATTAATGGTGCATAGCGCCCGGCTTTCAAACTGCTCGTGCTATGAATTAAATCAATATATACCGTGTACCATATTGCTTCCCGTTTTCAAGAGCGCTTTTAGTGGAATGGCTGGATCGAAACTATATTTGTAAAAGTTCCACGTGTCGGTTATAGTTCCTGATGTCATAGATTGTCGTGCGTTGGCTATCGAACATTAAGTTTTTAATGCCCATATTTCAAGCTATTAAGCGCTCCCGATCCGCAATGACACTTTCGATTAAAAAAAAATAGGAACACGTGGTTTTCGGTGGCTTGTATACACAAGGTCACTATCAGTGCGAGACAAGGCGTTTCCCTTTGCGTTGTAATTTTTTTCTTCACCACATCAATGCACTCTTTAGTACCCCTAATCACGATATGCACATCCCCCCGCACAATTCAGCAGGCCGAGAAAAAAATAATAGGAATTTATTGCGAGGCATTGTTGAACGCATTCTTGCTGTGCGTGAGAATTTAGTTATATGCGCGCACTTATCAATGTTGAGGCCTGACGTCGGTCTGTCTGGAACATAGCAGCCATAAAGGTGATTTTCAGTTCCAAAGGAAATTCATTTAACGGAAATGAGTTTTCTCGATTTTGTGTTTACTATTTTTCACCGATTGGGGTCGACAAGGACAGCTTTTTGACTCCATTCTCCAAAGAGAATAATTGATTTTTGTCGCGCGCTGTTGTAGTTAAAAATGATTATTTCAGCTCTAACCAGTTGTATCTTTTTTTTTTTGCTTTTTTTAATCTAAATTTTACCGTGCTTTTTATTTTTTTACCCATTACTGATAATGATTATAGTATTCTTGTTCAAAAAATAAACGAAATAAGCAAACCCGGGTAGCATTGCTTTCCCGTTTGCTTTTGAACGAATTTTTGGTATTTTATACTCGTGGCCTTTTTTATTACCCGTGACAAAATCTATTGTTTTCCAGTAACCTCAAAGAAACTTCCGTAAGCAAAATACAAATAAGATATTAATCGTAAGACGCTCTCGAACCTTTTCTTTGGAAGATATTTTTGTTCATCCGTACCCCTTAGAAACCCTTTTCTATTCCATTGTCAGTTATGGAAGTTCAAAACCCAATTCTCATTTTTGATGATCTGTGGGGGACAGCTTGTAATGTGACCATTCCAAAAAAACCCCTCTCCAACAGTACTTTCACATTGTACTATTTATTTTAGTAAATAATTCAAACTTTTTAGTATTAGTGTATGAAGTCTAATGATTTAGCCATTGAAATGAAAACTCTTTAGCTGTTCTTTTCCGTGGTGTTACTATTTACTTGTTACAGTCATCATACAAAGTGACAGTTTAATTTTTGGATGGATACGACTTTTGCCTTTCCTAGAAGTGAACTGAATTACTAAGCTGGTTAATTTTGATTTACCCTTGACGGATCGTTTATTTTTTACCCGTTGGATATTGTTCCCTTCAAGGAAAAGGAAACTTGAAATTACAATGGCGATACCAGACTCCGGACTTACTTTGCAAACAAAATTATGACATGACAGCCTGCAGACGATACGACACCAAACTTAGATTCTGTTTTATTGCCACATATGCAAAACTGTCAACCAGAGATTCATTATGATCACTTGCGTTTACTTTCAAATTAAAGAAAGTAGTTTTCTACTCTACGCTGAGCACTCAAACCTTGAATTATACAAAATGTGTTTAACTTGTGTTATGAGGTCTGAGAATAAAGCCCGTAATTTCACTACTCAAATGAAATTATTGAAACACTGCATTACTTGGTGCTAGCTATTTTCTTAATCTTTTTCTTAATTTATGTTTTAAAAAACTTATTTGGGGAATTTTTGTTCTAAGATTTTGGAAAGTGAAGCCAAGATGCGAAGTGCTCGTTCCTGCGAACGCAGTTTGACCGAAGCTTGCCCTTAGATTTACATGAATTTACCTGCAGCGACGGTGGAAAATTCTCTACAGACTCCATTAACAAGTGAAAAAGTCAAAAATTATAAACCCGCTTGCACACACGAGGCAATGGCGCCGGTAAACAAAGACATGTTTCTCAGATAACTTTGAACACTTCACCGCTTCGTTACTTCTTCTACCTTTGTAACAGACAGCGCGTCGTGAAGAGTTCATCTTTCCGCCGCAGTTGCATTGAATTCGCTCGTTTTGTTATAATACTCTAGTCCTCACCGTTGCCGCTGAACGACCCGTTCAAATATAAACTTAAACACTACTCAAGTATTTACGTACAACCATGCATGTATATGTATAGATGCTAATTTCTTTCGCGAATGTGAATTGCAAAACATTTCCCTTCCTTTTAGTAATGTATGACTCCGGTCGCCGACCCACTCGGTCGACCATTGTTTGTGATGCTGCTGAAACATGCGGGTTGATTTCAGCAGCGAATGTTTAATCTTTTCTGATCTGACTTTTGGAGTATGGCTTCGAAGCTTCCTCTCAACCATCGAAGGACGGCCATTTGAGCAAGATTGCCCCTTACCGCCGTAAGTAAAGCACGCAATTTTTTATCCTATTCACTCGAGAACTCCCTGCTCATTAAGAAAAGTTAATGTTCCTAAAAGCGGGCGAATTCGGTTATTTAGGGCAAGTATGTTCTTCTCGGGAAAGTCGCAGATGTTCGTTCGCTCTTTTGTGTCTAATTTTATCGTTCCTTACGCAGTTTTAAGGTATGAATTCAAGCGATACTTAGTGAAACTCGCAGAATAGTTTATTCCGCCTTTGTTTTCAGAAAGAGCTGGTGGTAGTTAACTTGTAATTTGTTCGAAAACATGCAGATGCTACTGTAACGATTTTCGTTGCAGACGTTTCTTTGATCGACATTTTTCGTCTTTTGCCAGCCTAAATTTCAGAAGAAGAAGAGAAATCGGTCTTTTTGGCCGAAAATTTCAACCCCTTATGGTTTCAAGGTGTCAGAACCGCGAACAACAGAATTAATTTTGTTGGCGCGTCGTTGACATTGTGTAAGGTTCTAATCAATTTTCTTTGTCTGGTGGATATCATTTATGACTTTCAAACAGCCTCTCTTTTTGAGTGAGATAAATGCTTAAATTGAAATTATGAACCACTCTTTCCGATGCAGTAAACAAATCCGCTGCGAATCTTTAAAATTTCTTAAACGGGGGTTCGCGCGCGACGGAGGTTGCACGTGTGGAGAAAGCAAACACGGCTCGAGACATCCGCTATTACAGGTGGTGTTGGAAATATTTCCAATTCTTATGTCGCTACGCTTTTGAAGTCGCATTTTGTACTTCGAAATAAAAGTGCGTAAAAGGTATTGGCGTAAATCCATTTTCGTCTTGTGGAGATAATTGTTTTCCTAAAGCGCAAATGTAATTCACTGTTAAAAGCAGTTCACCGCTCTGGCCGATATTTTGTCAGAGATTTTGACTGCTGTTGTCGGACTTCCAAATTCGTTAACACTGTGACGTCAAAGTTTGAATTATAACACCCTGTTCCCTTGGAATATTTTTGTATTCATCAGGTATCGTACAGAAAATTTATTGGCCAACCTCCCGGTTGCTCATTCAAAAACGGGCAAGAGCTTTCTTTAGAATGCCAGCCTACACGATCGGTGGGCAAACATCAGTTCACGTAGCGATAACCATCTTTCAGGAAATCTTGAAACAAGGCCTCATCCGCACTAAAGGCTCGTGGAAATAGCGCTCTATACAAAAGGATTTTTCTAATTCTGTAGTGGACTAGATATAGAACCTGATAGCCGGATGCAACATTCTCTCTCACGTCGACTACGAATTATTTCGCGCGCTCTCTTCATGCTTGTTTCAAGTATTTTTTTCCCATTCGTTGCTGCAAAAAGTTAATTTTTTATGAGCTCGCGAAAGCGATGGACCACTTTTGTCCCGCGCAAAAACAGGAGGCGGTAGAGTGTCTAGATCTTGTGCCAACTATATGCACTGCCGTTGAAACGGCAGCTGGCACCCTATTAGCTTTCTAACAACGCGCTAAACGGCTCTCGACCCTTTCAAGTGAAAAAAGACATTTACGGTTACATAAAACCGACCGCAAGAGTTAGGCGATGATAGCTGCAACACGTTACGGAAGTGTTAAAATTTTAAGCTGTGCCTTTCACGCATATGGCAAAACATCTTCGCCTCTCGAAAGGTGAACCGATTGTTAAACCTCTCGAAATTAAGCTGTCAACAGCGGAATGAAAAACAAAAGCTGAGAGATCTTTGGCACTTTGGATATCAATCTGTCGACGAATATATGACACCCCTCGGGCTCTCCCGCCCTCCACAACTCCATCGAAACAAAAGCCACTAATATTAGAACACACGCAGGCATCTTACATTGTCTCAGCGTGATTATATTTTGTAAACGCTTTCAGCTCATTTGCAATTGTGGTAATGAGGTTTCGAGGGGAACAAAAGAGCGCATTGAAGGCCGATCCAATAGCGTGCGACCTACCGATAACAATTAGCATATTCTTCACGCTGCATTGTAACTATTGACAACGGAATCGCCCGTGCGCCTTGGACCAATGGCGCACCGTGCGGTTGCGAATCGTGATTAATTAAGTAATAATAGAATGTCACTCAGCACATCGCTGTCCAATGAGCTCGCAGAAATCAACAGATCTTTGGACACGTTCATGAGGCTGGCGGCAAAAGAGCCGAGTTTTAGCTGAACGCGAGTTAAACCGAACTCGGTACAATGGAAGCGGGGCAAACGAATCCATACTCAAATCAGGTCGGTTCAGCGTCCACGCAGAGTAAAACTCGCGCAATTCAAAATCATCCAACCACCATGGCGTACGTGCGGGACGAACACACAGTTGTAAAGTACGAGAACCTAGCTCCGGTGAGTGTTGCTTCCCTGAGCGTGAACGAACCACGATTGGGAAATAACCACCTCGCAACACATCAATGGGTCGTACAAGACCACACTGGGGCCGTTGGTTGGCCAGCCAACACAGTGAGTTTACAAGAAGTTAAACCAATCTTGAGAGAGGATGCATCGCCTGTTATAACAACAATTGCCGGTGCAACTCTCGTCCATCATCGACCTGTGATGCCTTTGGAGCAAGCACGTTGGTCTAATGCAGCGACACATGGGGCTCACTCGCCTGATCACACTCGCATTCACATAAGCGGCGCGATGCAAGCAGTTCCCACGACTCATCCTTCGTACGGCACCATTAACGGCACCGTTCAGCTGCAGGGAGGGTTCCCGCAAACTGCGCAAACAATTCGCGAAAGTCCGAACGGCCAAGACGTTTCGCATGGAGCGCACCCCGATCTGGAAGCGCAGGATGACACTCCTACATCGGACGACCTCGAACAGTTCGCCAAAGAATTCAAACAACGGAGAATCAAGCTCGGGTTCACTCAGGCTGATGTAGGACTTGCTCTAGGCACTCTGTATGGAAACGTTTTCAGCCAGACGACCATTTGTCGCTTCGAGGCGCTGCAACTAAGTTTTAAGAATATGTGCAAGCTCAAACCCTTGTTGGCCAAGTGGCTCGAGGAAGCGGATAACAATAACGGGGCCGCGAGCGGCGTTGATAAGCTAGCAACTCAGGGAAGAAAACGAAAGAAGAGAACCTCTATTGAGGTGGCAGTCAAAGGCGCGCTTGAAAACCATTTTTGCAAAAATCCAAAGCCATCGGCCCAGGAAATTGGTGGCTTGGCAGAAAACCTTGGTCTGGATAAGGAGGTTGTTCGAGTTTGGTTCTGCAACAGACGACAGAAAGAAAAGCGTATGACTGCTTCAGTTACTGGCGGACCCGAAGACCAACATGTAGGATCGCCTCACGTCTCTTCCCCTCACGTTTCTTCTCCTCATGTTTCCTCGCCGCACATTGTCGGTCCGCATCTGACAGGACCGCAGTAAAACTTTGTATGTATTCTTCCCACAGAACAAAATAGTGGCCGATGTATTTTTCTATCAAGCGAATGGTCAAGGAAACGAGCTTGCGAACGAACGGTTAGCGTGTTAACTTGATTTACTCCTGACATTTTTCCGTACGCTAACACGGACTCGAGCCGAATATGAAATAGTGTAATTTCAGCTAGCGTAAGCGCGCTGGTGTATTTCGATTTCAAGTCGACCGCCTCTTTTAGGATATGCAAAAAGGTATTCTAATAGTATGGGCATGACTGTATGTAAATACTTACTTTGAAAGCTAGAGTATTTTGCATTAAGTTTAGAGGAATTCCAGGGAAAAAGTCTAAGATTGTAGTTTCTTTTAACATGAATATTTCTGCAGTGCCCCTTATTTCTTCGAGACCCATGTTTTGGGTATTTTCCCCGAAAGATCGTGTGTAAATAAAAGATGGATGCGTATAATTTGTCGACCCATAACAAACTTAAAATATGCTCGTACTTAGAGCTTACAGAATTATTATTTAGAGTTGTTTTCTTGCAATGTGAAACAGATATCTATCATACTTTTCTATGTAACCATGCATGTCTCGAGTCGTCCTTATGTACTTCAGATAAGTTATTAAAACGTTTTGAGTTTATTCCGTCCTTTGCTGCTTTGCTCTTCTGCTTTACGTTCACAACTTTGCGTATATTTTCGCTGTTCTTTTAACCGTCTAGTCCACAGTTTTACAGAGTACACTTTCAGCGTTTCTGCTGTTAAGTTGCGCGTTTCGTTCGCTCTTATTTTAGCGTAGTTTTCTGATCTTCGTTTTAGACGCGAATAGAAAGTGAGCCGTGGATGCATAGCAAAAGAAGTTCATTCATAACAAGGCGACTGATGTATGCAAATAGAAACAATTTCTTATTTAAATTCTCCCATACATTAAACGCACTGTGTTTCTTGAATTTGTAAAGGCAGGAATATACTCGCTCGCCTCGCGAGTTCGTCTTTTGAAGCGAACTACTCAAACACACTCCCAAACGGCGTGCCTTCCAACAGTTCGCGTTACGCCCTTGTAAACTCGTAAGTTTTGAACCGCATTTAGTTGCTTTTGTTCGTTGCTGTCGAAAGTAAGATCTCTTATGATGTTACACGTTTAGGTTATTCTCTTCGTGTTAAAAATTTCTTAATTTCAGCTTGAAATTGAGGTACTTTTAATCATTTCTGTACGATTCCCGTTGAACCATGTGGCTGTTTCATTTCAGCCATTTAACATGGTTTGAACTTGTTATGACGAGACTGACATGTTTTCAATGCTTGCTTCGGGTACCCGTTCTTACGATCGCCTGTTTCCGTGGGTCAAAATTTTATTCGTCACATAAATGCTTAGTTCAACAGACAAGTCAAATGCGAAACCCCCACTCGAACCCTATTTGTAGCCCCAAATCTTTCTCTTCTCGTCCCGAGTGATCCTTGTATTCTGGCGACTCAATTATGAATGTTATCAATTTCTATTCCAGTCGTATTCGATGGCCACATGTAACTAAACAAAAAAACCGATTACCTAATGGCAAATTGAACAGAAAATACCAAAACACCTGAACAAAACCTTGTCCTTTTTCCCCTTTATTTCGTGCAATTTTTCCGCGAAATGTTCTCAAATTACACTCTGTTTTGTTGTAATGTTTTTGGCGAGTCTCCCGTTGAAGCAAACATGGCTGAACGAAGTCTCACCGAAGCGCAACCAATATCTGACGTTTGAAGTATGTTTCATGAGTTTTCCCGGGATGTTAAACAAAACTGTTTTCCATAATTGTGGAATATATTCATGAGTTTTGGGCAGTCAAAATCGAAGCGTTCCTCGAACACTGCAAAATGACTTTGAGGTTCTGAATAAACGGGCATGTTGAGAGTTGAGGAAAATATGGTCAAGGCATGTCGAAATATTTCGGCCTGTTGTTGTTTCGCGTAAATAAAGTTTTGTTGCTTGGACTTATCGTTTTGTTTTTATTTCTGTATTACAAGTAGAGCCTTCTCTTTGAATTTCTTTTTATTTATTTCTTGGGGGAGGAAAGCTCGCCTTATCAACGAACTAGGGCATGAAAAATTCACCCTAGGACGACTAATTAGTTTAACAAACAAAATCGATTCTCTAAGTCGTTTCGCAGTTTGACTTGCTTAACTCGCACGAAATTCTTGATCTCCTCTTGTTATTCTGATGTAATTTTTTTCTATAGCGAGATTAAAATTCGTTTCGATTTCCCTTCTGTACGAAAAACACTCAAATAACTTTCTAATGTCAAAGGTATTGCCACTTTTGACGCCATGGCGAAGGAAACGCGCGAATGGCGGGCGATGGGTTTCTTTCGGACACCGCCGTTTCATTTTTTGTAAAGGTTGCTAAAAAAGTTTTTGTGATACTGTTCGTAAAAATGCACAAACTTTCTTTTAGACTGCTTCTGTATTATGGTAATAAGATGAATATTTTACTGTGTTAACATATTTATGAGTTCGATATACGATGACTCTTGAGCTAATTCATGGTGAAGAGAAAGACGCGAGCGAAATTCGCTCGCAGTTCATTTTGTTTCGCAAGTTGCCGTACAAAAGGAACGCGTCTCGAGATTAAGGGGACGCTATTACGTAACTTGTAAAGGTAAAATTTTTATTTCCTTTGATAGTATTCGTAGATTGCTGCACAAAAGCCATTGAAAGTGATTTGAATCAGCAGACATTCGGTGCTTGATTTGATATAATTCGTCGTCGTTATTTTCTTCTTTTCTCTCTTCCTAACCTTAAGGGATTTTCGATATTTTTTTTTTTGGAAAAAAATATTGACCGCCAGGGAAGCAACTTGTCAGGGAAACGAAGGCATTTAGAAAATTGCTCTCCAAGATTATTTGTTCTAGAATGTGTTGACAGCCAGGGCGTGAGGCGTGATGAAATTGCACGTGCAAAACGCGCGCCACACAAGTTGCTAGCCTTTAAAATCGATTAAAAGGCCTCGGCAAGCTCGAGTTTCGAGTCTTTTAAAACGCATCACGTAAAAAGTTTAGTAGACTGTTTTGTATGCTCAAATGCAAGCGACGCGAACAAGCGCTTTTCAAATCTGCTTTGTTGTTAGAATAATAATATATGCCCTGGGGAAATGTTTCACAAGGCGCAGATCCTTGTTTTAAAAGTTATGAACTCGTGTTTTTGGTGTTTAGAAGCTTCGAATTTTCTTGTTTCGTAATGTACAGGGTGACATAGACTTTTTATTTAAGTGCGAAATTACTTAACATCAAAACAGCTTGTTTTCAACATGTCGGTTCCTATGCTCACTCTCATTGCGCATGCGTGCGTTTTTAATTACTTTGCTTCGGAAAAGCTTTCCGAAATTAAAAATGTACCTCTTTTAAGAAGAGCTGATTAAGTGAGCAAATAGCCTTTTTTCTCTCTTGATCCTTGTTGGTTTTCGATATCGGCGGAAGCTCATCTTTTGGCGATTATTTAAATTCGAGCAAAATTAATTTGTCCGCTGGCATTAACCTCTTTTCGCAACCTGGTGACAATTTAGTACAGGGTTGCTATTTTGAGACGAATCATTGCTATGTCGTCATGTTTACAACTCCACAGAAAAGTCTTAAAGAAACCGCAGAAGGCAGGCAACAACAAGAATTAATAACTTAATTTCCTCAAGTCATAAGGCTTAAACGGTGCCTGATATTTTTGGAAAACGACTTTCGACTTTTTGTTTCTTCCAATTTCGCTCGCCCTGGAGGCATTTAGGAAAGCGCTTTTATGTCGTTGAACAATAGATTTCCTGTGAAGTCGCCTTTCAAAGTGCTTCCTCGAAAAAAGGTTTTAATGCCTCCCTACTACGTTTGAACGGAGCTAAATTGCACTACCTACTGCGTTTAAAGGAAAGACTTTTCTCCGCCTTTACGAAGCGACATAAAAGAGCTTGTCACCAAATGCATCTTTTCTCGGTAGAATCAAAAGTTTTTTTTTTTTCGGTTTTCGAGGCGAGTAGTAATTGATATTTGTTCTCAACAGCAGTAGGCGATTCCGCATTGTGCAAATTACAATTGCTTGTGGAGTAAAATTAATATGAGCGTTGGATATAATAAATCGATCTTTGCAGTAAATAAAAGTCAATAATTGAGCTCGTTCAAAACATCTGGCCATTTCTTTTGGGCAAAAATATTTCTTCGTGCCTGCTTTAGTTTTGTTGCCTCGTGCTTTGAAACGAAGTAGTGCTTTTAAATGTTTGTTTTCTTCAGTAGAGCATTCCGTGATAGACAATGGTTTTTAAAGTGTAGTTTTGTTGTTTGAGCTGGGTAAACACTAGACAAGAACGGTGTGCTCAAAGCTAATGCTCTCCGCTTTAAAATTAAACATGTAAGGCCTTTGGTTGGCTGGTTCGGATTAAGGAAGCATTTGCTTTCACGGGGCGCTTCGTATGTTATTGTCAGGTTTAATACATGAGTGTTATTTTACAGACAGCAGGTTGCAATTAAGATATACATGGAACATTATGAAACGAAATTATGTTTGCCGTCCGATTTTGGTGTAAGTCTTTTGTGCGGCTTTTCAGTGCTAACTAAATTGAAGTGCTTTTAAATAAGCGAGCGAGAAAACGCGCGCAAGGTGTTTAACATATGACAAGTCGTGTTGAAATTAAGTGGTTTTTGTTTTCCTCGTTCGGCCAAAGAGCAGGGGATTCAATTAAGTAAAGAGACTCAAAATGAGACAAAGGCTTACTAAGTAGCTTTCTCGACTGATGAAATAACTCTAAAAGCACTGTTGTGGTGGTTTTAAGTTTTTGGAGAGTTGAAACAAAAGGGCATTTCTTCAGCAGAAACTTGCATTATGCAGCCTTGACTTCTCTTAATTTCTTTGTTGGTGGTTTTGTTTACTCGAACAAAAGGCTGCTTTTTATTTCTTAATCCAAGGAATTTTCCGGGCATAATAGAACGCTTCTTAATAGTCGTGCGCTTCGAAAATTTCGAATATAAAGGAGCTTATAAGGTCTAGCTGTTGA